TAATATTTCATCAGTTCACATTGAAATTGACAACTTTAAATCTGTTTTTGGATACATTCATAAGTGAGTTAGGCTGCCCTGCTTTTTGATTTAACAATTGATCCATTTACAAAAGCCATTTGTGGCAGGACCTCTTATTTCCTACCACTTATGTAAATTTTGAATGAGTTTTCGTCTGATGGACATTTCTTAAAAGATGCAGTATAGCAAAATAATAAATAGATTTACAAACTAGCTCCCAAGCAGAAGTTGCTGTGTTTGCAATGCTTAGTTACCCACATGGTTTCCAGTAACCAACACCACTGTAAGTTATGATGATCCACATCCTTATCGTATGTCTTCACTACTGCAGTGCACTATCTTTGAAGATGACTTGGAAGCTATAATTGATCCATAATATAGCACTTATTCTGAAGTCTCTCTACTGGGTGCTAGTAGACTCAAATCCAATTCAGAGTTCTGATTATGACCTACACAGTTGTGTATGGCATAGAAATAAATTGAATTAGAGACAATCTTATTCAGAATTGTTCTGTCCATTCTGTAAGGTCATTTAAAGGGGGCTTGGTTAGGACTCTATACACTTGAAACATGAAAGGGATATGGCTCTGAGAGCAGATCTCATGACAAAGACTGTCCCAAAGATTGCTTGCTTCCCTTAGTTCTGATATTCTGTCATTAGATTATGATTGCAGCCCATGCCAGATTTGAACCTCCAGACCTCCTACATCAGTGAACCCTGTATCGCCCAGTGATGCCATGGAAGCAAGCATTCACCATAGAGCCAAACTGCTAGTCAGTTGGAAGATAAGACAATACTATATGAGATCTAATGAAGATCAACAAGATGATGATACATTATTTGTTTTCTTGCTATGAGATTCCTCTGAAAAAGAGCTGGAATGTTTCCTTTTCATCTCAGATAGAGGAGACCTATTGATTTCTATATTATGGCAGTTTTTGAATTTGCCTGGTAATTTGAATGCCAGCAGCTTCTTTCAGTGTGGTTGCTATTAATAGCAACAAAGATGGAAATTCCTGTAGAGTCTCAAAATCACATATTCTCAATATCCAAGAGATTTTGAAAATGAGAAAGAGGAGTATTAGATTCATTTATGAGGCCATCATGGAGCATTCCCCAATAATTTAGGGCTTATTTTTCACCTTGATTTCTTTCTAAATGCATTTATTTGGAATGGTTCTTTATGATTTTAAGCCCCTCTGAATTTGCACTGCTAAAATGTACCAATCGTTCCTGTATTTTAGTTTTTGAATTGCTCTGGACATGGTATGAGATTAGGACTGCATTCCCACCCGAGACATAAACCATGAGTTTTAAATTATAGAGTTTGAATGGTACACTGCACTAAGCCAGAACTAATCCAACCATTTTGTGGCCTAGCACAATATGTGAGCCCAGTTCCCCACTCATTGGACTGAATCTACATTACAATGAATCTAACACAGAGCATTTTGTAAAGCAGTACAGGTAGTCCTCCATTCTTCGTTTAGTGACCATTCAAAGTTCCAATGGCACTGAAAAAAGTGACTTATGACTGTTTTTTACGCTTATGATCATTGTAGCATCTCCATGGTCATGTGATCAAAATTCAGAAGCTTGAAAGCTGGTGTATATTTTATGACAGTTACGCTGTCTCAAGATCATGGGATCACCATTTGTAACCTTCCCAGCTAGCTTCTGGCAAGCAAAGTCAATGGAGGAAGCCAGAATTACTTAACAACCACATGATTCACTTAATAACTTCAGCAATTCACTTAACAACTGTAGCAAAAAGGTCATAAAATGGATCACAAGTCACTTAACAACTGTCTTGCTTAACAATGGAAATTTTGGGCTCTGTTTTGATCATAAGTTGAGGACTTCGTGTAGTTCTCCTAGATGAAGTTCACATCTTAAAGTTGCTCAGATTGAAAAACACTGCTGTAAAGAATGGATCAGGGCAAGCTGCTTATTGACTGATTTTTAAGCATTTTAAAGAAAGTTGATTTTTTTAAAAATATCCATTTCTGCTGGTTTTAGATTGGTTTTCAAGTCAAAATGAACTTCGGTCCTTCAGTGGAATTACTTTTGCCAAAGGAGATAAAAAATTGGAGACCTCAGCAGCATTCAATCCCAACAATCACAATACCTTTCTGGATGAATCATCAGAATTGGCCATTAGTAGCAATGCCTTATACTCCAACTTGGATTACCATTTCCAAGAAATGTATTGGGGCATTAACACTTGGAGAGAGAGAGAGAGAATGGGAAAAGGAGAAATAGTTGATTGATGGATAGAGTTTATAGTGGGGAAGAAGGAGATCTCTTGGAATTAACTGCTGAAGATTTTTGATGATGTACCTATTTTATGCTATCTGTTCATGTCAGACTTACATAAAGTTTTAATTGTTTATCATCAGTTGGTCGTCCAGACAAATGAAAGATAAAATATTTCTCCTCTCAGGCATATACATCTCTGCCAAGAAAAGAACTAATGAGAGATGAGATAATATACAGATGTTTATCCTTTTTGGGTAGGAACAGCAAAGCTTTAAACTGTCTAAGAAACTATGCCACTTCTGACTAAATAAGCCTAATTTCATCATATTATACTACTATTTATCCTACATTATTTTCCCCACATTCAGCTTTTCGGTTGCCCGGGACCGTTTGCAACATTTCTGGGCCTGCTGAATTGCTTCAGCAGGCCTAGGACACAACAGATACCTTTCAGTATTTTTTCTCTTGATAGTTCATTTTACTTGCAGACTATATTTAGGCAATCTCAAATCAAGCCAAAGGACTAAGATAGTGTTTATGCATAATTAATTATAATTTAAGATAATTACAACTCAGAGTAGTTGATTTGGTAAATCTATATTGGAAGTCAAGAACATTTTTCCACATGGATGTTGTCACTCATTGATCAAGGATAGTTTTTATTTAATTTAGGGGGGGGGGTCCTTTGTGCTCTCAGAGCTGGCTTGCTTTTTTACAGTTGTTTCATTAACCAAACTAGGTAACATCATCAGTCATTAGCACAAGTTCAGAAAGCATCAAGGTCCCCTAATTTCAAGCCTGAGCTACAAATATTTGCCTTTATTAGTGTTTTTTGTTGTTAAGAAAACTGGTCTTTTTTTTCTATCCTATGTGGAATGGTTCAATCAGCAAGTTGTAACGGAAATGAGAACAGGTTGAGAAAGAATGGCTGCAAGAACCAAACACACAGCCAGCTTGCAACTTCCTGCCACTGAGATAATGTCCTCTAAATAACATGCTGATTTCATTCAAGCATAATCACAAGGAGCCAAAGACTTCTTTTTTTGTTGTTGTTCTTTATGTTGAAGCAAAAGAGGAACACAGCAGTCCATGAATATGAGCATTATTTGGGCAGCCAGGCTTTTGTACAATGAGCCAGGCCTTCTGAGTAGCATGTGACTATTAGTAGACTTGATTTACCAGGTCATCCCAAGGAAAGTTTAATTTCCATTGAATGAAATTTCCATATTGCAGTGCAGATTTCTTCTAACTCAAGTAGAAAGTAGAAATAAATGGGAGAAGTCCTTGAACTTTATTAGTTGAGAATTGATGTAATTATAACTGGGGATGTTTCTGGCCATGTTGTAAATGTACCTCCAACTGAATATAGGAAAACTTTTTTATATTAGCTATAAATCAAAGGCACAATTAAAGTGCAACAACTTAGAACCTTTGTCAAATAGTATTTAGTATTTCACAGCATATAACTGCTGTCCCAATTATAGACTCTGGGAAGCTCACAATAAAAATGGAAAAATATGCGCTCAGATCATACAGTTTAGACTAGAGGACCCAGATTTTTTAAAAATTGTTCTTAAAATGATCTCTGGAAATGATTCTCCACCCTCTGCATTTACATTATTCCATTCTCCCCATCAATCAACCACTAGCCCCTTGCTGATTATTTTATGTTAAAATTGATGTTTATGTATGAGCCTCTTATCATAAGCCCAAAATGGCATCATCCATATAGAAGAGGAAAATATCAATTCTAACACTTTCAGAAGTACAAAAAAAACCCTTAGAGAAAATACCAATAAGAAGTGGAATTCCCTCCCCTCAAATTCAGGCTCTCTTCCCCCCTCACACCCCCCAAGTATCAGAAGCTGCTGACACAGAGCAAAGAATCTTTACAGAAGATCTCCTAACATGGAGTACATCTGTAGCTGTCTGATAAAAATAGATAAAGAAAATGAATTAAGAAAAATATAGTTTTATAGGAAACTTTGATGAACAAGTTGTGGGAGCACTGGAGAAAAACAGTGATTATGGGAGTAACTCACTACAAATGGGCCAGATAAGCCTATTACTCACTACAAATGGGCCAGATAAGCCTACTACTCAAAGCAGAGACCTGGGGGGGAGGGGAGAGGGTAGAGTCAAAAAAATAAAGATGAAAGTCATGACTGCATAGCTGAAGCTTTCTCTGTGTATCCTCAAATTGTTGTCCTGTTGCCTTGCCTTTTTCCTCCAGTATTACAAGTAGTCCTCAACTTACAACCATTCATTTAGTGACCGTTCAAAGTTACAGTGGCACTGAAAAAAGTGACTTATGACCATTTTTCACTCTTGTGACCATTGCAAGATCCCCATGATCACATGATCAAAATCCAGCTGCTTTCCAACTGGCTTGTATTTATGACAGTTACAATGTCCCAGGATCATGTGATTATCTTTTGCAACCTTCTGACAAAGAAAGTTAATGGAGAAGCCAGATTCACTTAATACCCATGTTACTAACTTAACCACTATAGTGATTCACTTGACAACCGTGGCAAAAAAAGGTTGTAAAATTGAGCAAAACTCACTTTAAAAATGTCTTCTTTAGCAACATAAATTTTGGGCTCAAATTGTGATTGTAAGTCGAGGACTACCTGCATTAAGAACTTTACATGGTTGAACGTATCACAATTCTTGTTATACAATTATTCTGTATAAACAATATTCTCTCTTTTTTTAGAATTCTATGAATCTGCCGCCAGACAAAATGAAGCTCCTGAGTCAGTATGATAATGAAAAGAAATGGGAATTAATATGTGACCAGGTAAGAGACCAGAATGGTATATTTAAAGTAACTATAGGTATCATAATTTAAAATAATTTTCAATGTGGCTTAATATTCAAAGCTTCTAATACGTCTGAGAATTCTGGGAGTTGTAGTTTCTGTGTCTGGTGATCATTTCTGATCCTTTGATGACAAGCAGGCAATCTTCTAAAGTATTCTGTGGCTATTATAGAAGGAGCACTTGTAGCCAAACACCTATTTATTGTAAAGTTTAAAAAATGAAAAGTGATGAATTTGTTTCTTGCAGTTGCCAGTCAGTGGTGGGATTCAAATACCTGAAAAACTGGTTCTCTTATTGGATGCAGGCCTGGGCCTCTGAGGCCTAGAACGAACTTTCAGAAGTGGCATCCATTTACTTCCGATGGGCCAGTCTAGGCCTGGGAGGCCTCCTCCAGACATCCGAGGCCTATAATGGACTTCTGGAAGTACTGTGCATTAATTCTCCGAACTCAGCAAAATTTAGCTACCAGTTCTGCCGAACCAGTGCGAACCGGCTGAATCCCACCACTGTTGCCAGTAGAGCTTTAGGTACTCTCTAGCCCCCACGAAATTTATCTTTCCTGTTTTCTTAATATGTAAAGATGTATTTCCAATCAAAAGGCTATACAAAAGTCTGTAACTATAGTTTGCAACCTGACAGCTTCCCATTCATTTATTTATTTTTTAATAAAGGTTCTAAAAAATAAGATTTGGGCAAGAGAGCTTATAGGCGCTGAGAGATATTCCACAAGCATTTTTGGTGTTGTGGATAGTACTATAATTATGCTTATTTTAGCTCTGTCCTAACATGATAAATATCAGAGTTCCTTGATAGGACACCTGTGGCAGTTCAGTATAATTGGAAATCTAATGTAGTTTGTCCTTGAGAAGACAGGATAAACAGGGCTGTTTCTATCTTTGCTTTCCCACAGGAAACAGAAAAGAAAAATTAAGTAGGTCTGTGGCAGGACAACAAACATCCAGAAGTTCAGAATTGATGCCCTAATACAAGTAACTTAGGTTTTGAACAATGTAATATATTCAAAAGACCAATATATGAGAGTCTGGTTGCATTCATCATGTACTCTGTCATCCTCTTCGTAAGCATTTAATTTTTAGGGAAACCAATTTGTCCTGCAGGTGTCCACAGAAATTTATTTTGGATAGAAGAAATAGGCATGATTTTATCCCTGATCACATGCTTTCCTTAGCTATTTGAATAAGGGCAAAAGTGTAAATTCAAGAGATCTGCTAGGTGATTGGGCAGATTTCAGCCTCTCAATCAAATCTCACTGCATTGCATTTGGTTTAAAGGGAAGTACATCTGTTTTTCAGAGCACCAAACTAGGTTTATTACATGACAGGAAAAACAATGACTTTGTGTATGTGGGGAGGGATAACTCTAGCTTTCAGGTCTGTTTGTACCTACCAAGATGAAACAAAAGTGGCGTCAAAAGAAGCATTTTTCAATGGGCTCATTTTAATGTTAAATTGTTTTTTTTTGTCTAAGCCATTGTTTGCAAAGTTCACACTTTCTGCTAAGCCAAAACTAAAGAAGCCACACTGTGATATGAACTTAGTAAAAAAAAAAAAATCCACTATCACCTTGGTTGAAACATTTCAAAATCCTGCCAGAACTAAATGGTAATATGAAAGTGGGGTGTGTCATAACAAATTGCTGTTCCTTCTTTTGAGTTGCCTTCATGAGTTTAGTAGTGGTGGAGAAACAGTCTTTCTCCATCCTGAGTTAAACAAGGAAGGTGGTTACTTAAGGTTCCCTTGTAAAAACAAGCTATTGGCAGGGGGGGAGGGGGAATGGCACCTGTTCATGCTGTGAAACTATATATTCCTCAGTTTAATAAAGGCACAGCCTTGCGAATGATGCTGAACAAAAAAAGAGGAGAATGACTCATTCTGGGCTATGTGAATGTGTCTGTGTGATCTGGGTCTTCACAGACTTGCTAAAACAGCTCTGGCACAGGGCGATTTCCAAATGCCTTTTACTCCAGAAAATAATCTTAAAATGTTTATTGAGTGGGCAGTTAAGAATCAAGAAAATATCTCACTCGCTCTTTTGTGTTTGAATGAAATCAAGTTACAGGACCCTTGTGAAGTAGAACCTATTAGTGTCTGCTTTAGCTCACAACAAATACAGCTGAATGATGGATAAAAAAAAAGCTTGGCCTTCATTGAATCATACAGGAAGTGGTAGTGTGGGTTGTAGAGATGTTGCTGTTGCTCTTTGATTGGGAAGATATAAAGGGTGCCACAGCACATTTAACTCACAACATATTGACTCCCAATTGGATTAGTAAGGAGTGAGTATACAGATCAGTTAAACCATTAAATAAATAACCCCTGTGTCCTACTTCAAATTAAGCTTAGTATCTGATATGCATTCAATGAACATGAATTGGGGCAAACTTTGGAGACGATGGAGGACAGAAGAGCCTGGTGTGCATAGGATTGCAAAAGGTTTGGCACAACTTAGTGACTGAACAATAACAACAATATGCTATCATACAGCCACCCAGGCAACCTTGTTAATTATGCTGTTCTGTTGTAAATGAAATTCTTAATGAAAAATGGCAGTGAATACTCACAGTGTAGCTCATAGTAAAATGGAACAAATATATAGAGGCAGCTCTGCCATGAGTTAAAGCATTTACCTCAAGGGGTAGATAATGATTAAATAACATAGATACATATGTTGAACAGCTTCTAATTACAGGTCATCATCGACTTATGACTATAATTGAGTCCAAAATTTCCATTGCTAAGCAAGACAGTTACGTTTTTCCCAATCTTACAAATTTACTTGGCACAGTAAAGTGAATCAAGTAGTTGTAAAGTTAGTAACACAATTGTTAATTGAATCTGACTCCCCATTGATTTTGCTTGTCAGCAGAAGGATCACACGATCACATGATCACGGGACACCACAACTATCATGAACACATGCCTGTTATCAAGCGCCTGAATTTTGATCACTTGGAAATGTAGCAATGGTCATAAGTGTGAAAAATGATCATGTTACTTTTTTTCAGTGCTGTTGTAACTCTGAACAGTCACTAAACAAATGATTATAAGTTGAGGACTACCTATATCCACCACAATCCTAACATCACTTCCTGCCCCACCACTGCCATCTTGGGATCATCTGCTTGTAAGGGAAAGTGGTTCTTTCATGGATTCAAAAGATAGGCTGAAAGCAGCGTCCCCATTTTTACAGATGGAAGTAGCTCTGAGTTTTTGAATTTTTCGTATCTCTTAGACCCTGGGTCCCAGGCTACAAAAGTCAAGATGAATGCTTTTGATCACTGAAATTTTTGCAGGCCAATATTTTAGCCCTAGAGTCTGCAAAACTATCAAAAATATATAGAATTAAAATTCCTTGTCAAACACATCATCCCAAAAGCATTAGTCCACATGCACATACAAGAACAATCTTTTTTTTTAAATATGTATGTACATATACACATCACCTTGTCATCTCTCTCATTTTTTTCTTGAACTGCTCCAGGGACGTCTGCAGAGAATGCTAAAAAAAACCCAAAATGGTAACTGCTACAATAAAGTAGAAGCTTTTACCATACTCTGAGGACACTCCTGCCTTACTCTATTTTTTAGACACTTTCATTCATTCTCACACACAGAGGTTTTAAATTGGTACAATATTAACAATGTGTCCTCTAATTATTGCAGAATCTTTTGAAGTAAATGTTTTAGCACCTATGCTTCAAACAGTAAGAACAGGAGGCAGTGCACCATCCCTCTTGTGAAACCTTGTGTCATATTGTGGCACAGGGTGATGCAATGCAGTTATTATGGGAAGAAGAAGCAGGGATGACTTACACGGGATTAATTTGATTTGAGATACATTTAAATAGTGTGTATGAAAAGGATTATCTGCAACCTCTTTCTACAGATCCACAGATTCTTTAAGGTTTACAATTTGCAATGATCAGAGTTGGGTGAAAACAACAGAACTTCGTATAGCACATTCCAAAGTATACATTTGCAGACTAAAGCGTTTTAAGAAAAGGGTATTGTTGTGATAGGGGAGCATATATGTACAGGTGGTTCTCAATTTACAACAGTTTGTTTAGTGACATTCAAAATCTCAACAGCACTGAAAAAGTGACTTATGACCATTTTTCACATTTATGACCATTTTTCATACTCCAGCATCCCCGTAGTCACCTAATCAAAATTCAGGTACTTGGCAACTGACTCATATTTATGACGGTTGCAGTGTCCCATGTCACTGATCATCTTTTGTGACCTGACAAGCAAAGTCAATGGGGAAGCCAGATTTACTTGACAGTGTTACTAACTTAACAACTGCAGTGATTCATTTAATAATTGTGGCAAGAAAGATTGTAAAATCTGACAAAATCCACTTAATAACTGTCTCACTTAGAAACAGAAATTTTGGGTTCAGTTGTGGTCATAAGTTAAGGACTACCTGTAATGGCTGGGCTATAAAATTGGAGTTTTCTAAACTTCAACAGGCCAGAATATATCCAATGCCTTTGAATATTGAGATATCTTTTTTTCTCTTTGTATTACTTTTTATACTTTCGCAGTTTAGCCTGATGCATAAACATTTACATCTGGCAGCTAAAGGCTGCTAGTGCTGTGCCCAGAAGCACCTGCAATATTTGTAATTTTGGTTATGTTTAACAATTGTCTCCTCAGCATCTTCCATAAAAATAGATAAAAAGATATACCTAACTTGCACATCCTCATAACATGTTTGCATTTTCAGAATCTTCTCTATTCCTTATGGATTTAATGAAAAAAAAAATGTGTTGTTTCTCTTCTTCCACCCCATCTGTGGCTATCCATAGGAACGATTCCAGGTCAAGAACCCACCATCTGCCTATATCCAGAAATTGAAGAGCTATCTAGACACAGGTGGATTCAGTGGAAAGGTAACTTGTGGCTAATATGGCCATTTCATATTCTCTGCCTCCCATAATTACTTTCCTGTTCTTTCTATTCTCTCTCAACTGGAAATCTATATACTGTATGTCTAAAACATTCATTCCCATAACCTTTAACCTGGCAAAATGCTGCATCATAGGGCAATAATTTTGAAACCAATGTACCTCAAATGGACTAACTTACAGAATCTTGGACCTGTGATTACTGTAGATTTCAAATGTGGCAAACTTTATAAAACATTTTATGACATAAAAATAATCATAAAACACTTTATGACATAATACAAAATATCATAAAACATTTCCTGTGCTGATGTTTGTGCTACATAGTTCAGCATGGGCTATTTTCAAGGCAGACACATCTCTGAATATATCCCAGCTTTTTCCAGTGAAGGCAATAAATAGATATTCTGTCATAATTGAGCCATAGAGGAAATCTAGTAAAGAAATATCTCTGAAAAGATGACCCTATGAGACACAGGCTATCTAATTTTATATATAGTAAAACTAAAAAAGATGTTCTTTTGCTGACAAACCATTAGCAGCCGATTATCATAATTTTCTTCCCCAAGTCTGATTTTACTTTTAGGTAAAACAGAGCAAAACCCAGCAACCAAACAAAAATTTTCAGTAACAAATACAACTGGATTTTTAAAAAGCTTTTTGATTTCCGGAATGAGTAGAAATTACTACTCTGCATGCAGTAACAAATTTATTTATTTATTTACTGCAGCTATTTGTATTTTAGAGTAACAATCCTTCATTAGATTGCAAACAATAAAAGCAATTGTAGATAAAATACAATGAGCATTATTGGAAAAAGAAATGCAGTTACAGGATCCTTTACACAGAGCCAGTGATGCTAAAGGCTGATAGGGGTGTGGGATGTGGGGGAGAGCACATTTACATATTCTATATTATATTATTTTGTGCATCTAACACAAAAGATAGACTGGCAATGGCATGCACAGTATTTCTTTCTGGGTCTGGCCAGACACATGGAAATATAATTTGCAGGAATTATTGTGATGTGAGCAAAATAGGAAATGTGCAGACAACCTTATGTTGAAGAGATAGATCACATTTTAATAATAAAAAAATTATCACTTTTGAATGAATTGAATGCCTTGATGTACCTGCCAGAAACTCACAGTTCCTATAGTCTTAAGTTATTTAAAATTTGAGCCATAGGCTTTATTTGAACAGATGCCTTTATCTGGAGTATTTTTATTTGCTTTCTGGGTTATGATTTTTCTTTGCTCATAACCATAATCTGCCTGCAATCAATATGAAAATGCAAGCAGCAAAAGGACTGTTTTGTAATTCACTATTGAGTGCAAGGCATGCTCACAGTCTGAAATTCCTTGTGGTATCTATATTATTTCCCATTGATGCCTAGATAACTTTTTCAAACCCAGAATTATTATATAGTTCATAAGTAAGTCACAGGTAGATAAATATATGCCAGGTTTGTAATTTCTACGGGATTTGATTTGCTTTCTTTACCCAGTTTAAGAGACGAGTTCAAGAATCTACCCAGGTTCTTCGGGAATTAGAGATATCCCTGAGAACAAACCACATTGGGTGAGTAACAGTGGAAAACAATTCATTAGTTATTCACTTACTTGTTGTACACTCTCCAACTTGCTATTCCTAGTCATGAGCAATTATATTATTAGCAATGATAATATATTCATTATTTGAATATTATAGAATATAATTTGAAAAACCTGAAGCATCATGACAACTTCAAAGACTACCTTTTATGACCAACTTTTATACAATGAAAAGGACACAAATAAATTGAAGAAAAAAATATCATAAATAAAAGAAACATTTTATTCATTGCAACAATAATACAGACAACTTGCATGTGCAAAGTTTGCCATCCAGGTGTTTTGGCGCGCTCAGCAGCAATTCCTATTGGCTTTCAAAAGCCAATAGGGGGAGTAGCACAGCTCATGCAAAAGTTGAAAAAAAACCATCAAAAAAAGGTGCCAGAACGCCATTCTGAGCATTCTATGAGGAAAAAAAAGCCCTGGGTAGATTAATCTTCAAATATCGAAAAGGAGGACATGTAGGAGGACACTTTTTGAGGGAGGATAGAACTTAGAAAAGGAGGACTGTCCTCCCTAAATGAGGACGGTTGGTCACCTTAACCTTTTAGCACTTAGGTAGTTCATTGACTCATTCAAAGTCATTGACTGAGCTAGGCAGCTATAGAAATTGAATGAACAAATGAATGAATGAATTCTCAAAATAGTTTATATTCTACAAAAATTATATTCTGTATGCTTTCTAAAGTTAGAAATAACACTTTTTATAAATAAATGCCCCAAAGAATGTCGTGCATATTGGAGAGAGAAGGAGGTATGTTTGGACAAGAATACAGAGCATTTCTGATTATGCTCAGTGGGCTCTGTGAAAATCAATATGGCCTGGGTAAGCTTAAACCTAAGTTTGTTAACTCCCCTTCTACATCCTAACAGATCCCAGGTACTGGGACAGCACATTGATAACATTGCCTGGATGGCCAGGAATCAAGATGTACAAAATATACAAATGTACAAATCAGCATACTGATGATACCTGACTCCATGCCCTCACCCAATAATCCCTGGTAGATGTTAAATAAGAATAGGTTAAGATTAAATAGGAATAAGAGATCCAAATCACGAGCCTAAAGTTCCATCTCTCCCTTTCTACAAGGAAAGGTGGAATTAGCCCCCAAGTGGAACTATTGAGTGAAATTACCCCAAAGAAAGCAGAGTAACAGAATTGGAAGAGTTCTTGGAGATCTTCTAGTCCAACTCTCTGCTCAAGCATATCAGACAAATGGCTATCCAATCTCTTCTTTTTTTTTTATTGAAAATTTTTATAAATTTTAACAAAAAAACAAAAGAATAACAATACAACAACAACATAGACAAGAAACTAAACAAAACAAAACAAAACAACCCTTCCCCTACCCCCCCCAAAACACCCACTCCCTCCCCCCCCAGAGCTTCCCAGAGCAGAATATAGGCTTAATTAAAAAAAAAATAAAAAAGGTATATGAAAAAAGAGAGTATAACTAAGATATATGTATGTATATAAAAATAAAAGTTATAAAAAAGCTAAATAATATTTTTTTATATCCAATTTAAATTGTATAAACTTTATCCATTTATCCCAAACAGCAAAAAATTTCTCTTGTGATTGTTCTTTTAAGAAAGCCGAAATCTTTGCCATTTCCACCAAATAAGACACTTTAAGAAACCATTCCTGCAAAGTAGGCAAAGATTCCTTCTTCCAATATTGTCCTACTAACAGCCTTGCGGCTGTAATCAAGTTTAACCTCAATATAACCTCCTTTGTGTCACAATCAGTAACTATACCTAACAAAAATAATTGTGGAGTAAATTTTACCCTCCTTCTAAAAATTCTCTGAATATTCCACCATATCTTAATCCAAAAGGCTTTTATATTTCTACACGACCACCAGATGTGATAGTAGGTGGCATCCAAACAACCACATCTCCAACATTTAGGCTGTAGGTCAGGGTACATAAAAGACATTTTTTGTGGGTCAAGGTGCCATCTATAAAACATTTTATAAAAATTCTCCCTTAAATTCTGTGCTTGTGTAAATTTAACATTTCTCACCCAAATGGTTTCCCAGGTATCCAGTAGGACTGGTTCACCAAAATTTTGCGCCCATCTGATCATACAATCTTTAATTAATTCTGTTTCTGAATCCAATTCCACTAGGACCCCATAAATTCTCTTAATATGAGTTAGTCTTTGGTCCTTCACTTGCTTAATAAGATTTTCATCTTCTCTGAGAAAACCCACCGTACGATCCATCTTCCATCTGTCTACTAATTGTCTATATTGAAACCAAGAATAAGTAATATTTTCATGTACTAACTCTTCCAGTAATTTTAACTGTCAATTTTGTCCATCCCATCTAAGTAACTGTGTATAAGACACCATGTCCATTTTAACACCTCTTTTTATTCCTTCTATTGCATGCCAAGGTATAGCCCATAGTGGTACTTTAAAATCACTTTTATAATATTTTCTCCAAACCCTAAGTAAAGAAATTCTTATAATATGAGATTTAAAAGCCCGATCCACTTTTTTATTAAATATTAAATAGGCATGCCAGCCAAAAAGTAAGTCCCATCCCTCCAAATGGAGTATCTCAAGGTTTGTTAAATTTACCCAATCACTGATTGATGTTAAAACCACCGCATCATAGTATAATTTCAAATTCGGTACCTTGAGTCCACCTCTCTCACGGAAGTCTTGCATGATTTTAAACTTAACCCTTGGCTTTTTCCCTACCCAAATGAATTTATTGATTCCTTTCTGCCATTCACTTAAGTTAATCTCATTCTTCAAAATTGGTAACATTTGAAACAAAAAAAGAAACTTGGGTAGAATATTCATTTTTATCACTGCAATTCTTCCCATGAGAGGTAATTGCAACTTCTCCCAATTCCTCAAGTCTTTCTGTACACTAACCCACAACCTTTCATAATTATTTTTAAACAATTTTGCATTAGAAACAGATAACATCACCCCCAAATATTTTACCTTGTTGACAATTTCAAAACCCGTCAGGTTAGCCAAAATCTGCTTTTCCCGAATAGTCATATTTTTAGGTAGGATTTTAGTCTTATTAACATTAATCTTAAAACCCGAAACCGAGCCATAATGATAAATCAACTGCAATAACTTTACTACAGAGTAAGTAGGTTGCGACAAAGTAACCACCAAGTCGTCCGCAAAAGCTCTTAACTTATATTCTTTTTTGTTAACTTCTATTCCTTTTATTTCCTGCGACTCTCGAATTTTAATCAACAATATTTCCAATGTTAAAACAAACAACAACGGTGATAATGGACATCCCTGTCTAGTACCTTTCTCTATTGTAAAAACCTCTGACAAACCTCCATTAACAATAAGTTGTGCCGTTTGTTTTTGGTATATTACCGTAAGAGCTTGTAATATTTTTTCACCAAAATTCATCTCTTCAATTACTCTTAACATAAAATGCCAATTCAATTGATCAAAGGCTTTTTCAGCATCTAAAAATATCAGCCCTGCAGAAACTTGGTTATTCTTGTCTAGATATTCTAATAAATTAATGATTTGTCTAGCATTATTCTTCATATACCTACCAGTTATAAACCCAGATTGATCTTTATGCACAAGATGATGCACAACCCTCATAAGCCTATTTACTAAAATTTTTACAAATATCTTATAATCAACATTTAAAAGAGATATAGGTCTATAATTCTTTGGTAAAGTAAGATCTTGATCCTCTTTTGGAATCAAAGATATAAAAGCACTACGCCATGAGGGAGGAATCTCTGAACCCTGTAAAATGTCATTAAAAAGATCACCTAATGGTTGGATCATCTCTTCCATTAAAGCTTTATAATAAACAGATGTCAACCCATCCGTACCCGGTGCTTTCCCTGGTTTCAATTGTTTAATTGCTGTCGCAATTTCCTCATTAGTAATTAAACCATTAATTTCCTGTTTCTGGTCCTCTGTCAATTTGGGAAGGCTGGCCTCACTTAAATATTTATTTATATCTAAGATTTGCACATTCGTAGATTTATATAATTTCTGATAGTAATCTAAAAAAGATTTCTTAATCAATTCCTTCTGAAACACTAATTTGCCCTTATAGTTTATTTTGTTTATTATTCTCTGTCTCTGTTTCTTTCTTAATTGATAGGCCAACCATCTCCCTGGTTTATTAGCATTACAAAATGTATTTTGTTTCATAAACAATAAATTAGTTGCGGATTGATCTGCCATCAACATATTAAATTATGTTCTTAACAACTTTATAGATTCTTTAATCCCTTCATCTGAAGGATTTAAAATCAAAGACTTTTCTTTTAATTTAATTTCATCTTCCAATTCTTTACGTTTCTGAGTCTGCTTTTGCCTATGAAAGTTATTCATTTTTATCAAGATCCCACGCATGAATGCTTTACCTGCATCCCATACCATTGACATTGAAGTCCCCTTATACATATTTAAAGCAAAATAATCCTTTAAACACTCCTTTAACTTTTGAACATTCTTTTCTTGTCTGAATAAGTTCTCATTCACCCTCCAAGATCTTCTCTCCTCTTTTTCTTGAATCAGCTCCATCCAAACTGGACTATGATCCGTCAGCGACCTGGGAAAAATCTTAACATTCTTTACTCTATTATATAAATCCGTTGTGATAAAAAAAAAGTCAATTCTTGAAAAGGATTGGTGTCTATCTGAAAAAAAGGTAAAGTCTCTCTCCTCTTGATTACATTCCCGCCAATAATCCCTTAATTCCCAGTCCTCTTTCATGTCAAAAAAGGCTTTAAGTAGTTTTGCCTGTTTAAAAAGAGGAGAAGAATCTTTCTTGTCCCTTTGTATATCTAAGACACCATTCCAATCACCCATTAATACCACGGATCTGTAGTCCAGCAGAGTTATTTTTTGATGTAGCAATCTATAAAATTGTTCCTGTTGCTGATTTGGTGCATAAAGTCCCACTATAAGTATTTTCTTACCATATAAGCCAAGCCAATCTCTTC